CAAAGAAAATTGTTTTAGTTTCGAATCGTCGTCATACTTCCTATTGAGAAACTATATTATTATGATACTTCTGTCACTAATTCATTGAGTACAGATCATTCTTGACGTATATCTGTTATTTCTTATATTTTGCCATTTTGAAAAGTGCCTACTATGTTTAACCCAACCTTTGCTGTCCCAAACCTGGATGAGAAGCGACAAAACGATGGCGAAGATACAAGTCAGCTATCGGTTCTGAACGGAGGAGGTAGGCAGCGCAATGCCATTACAACAGGTCAGAAAAGGCACCACGACACCGCCAGTGAGAGCTTTCAGTCAGAAATTGGAACATATCCTCACTCAGAGGGAAAGAACAAGAGTTAGTTGTTGAGGCCATGAAGTACCAACTCGACAGAGCTGGACTCTAGTCGACGAAGGGCAAAAGCTTTGAAATTCTGAGCCTCTGTGGACGGAAGCAAGTGCCAACTTCACGACGCTCCCTCCAGTAATGATCTTCTACTATAAACCAACCTCGCTGACAGAATCATTCAATGAATCTTACAACTGAAGCTACAACAGACTAAATTTGAATAGGTGAGGTGTGTCGACGGAGTCTGTTGTAGGCTCTGGTCATCGTCTTTCACAGCTCGAATGCCAGTACAAGATCGGATACGTTGGAAGCGCTCCTGGCGCACCTTTTTGCGCGACCCGAAGGGAGTGGCTGTCATGGACAATGAAATGAAACCTACTATGTTTTGGCTCCAATATAAGTAACTGCCGTGCGAGAGGAGGCTCCTTTCTAAAATGTGGCTCATAAAGCAGTTGTGATTAAATTTCCTTAACCGTGGATTTTTTTAAGGAAGTTGTTAAGTTGAAAGGAAATTTTTAAGGAACATTTCTTTGAATAGAATCCGTCACATTGTCTAATTTTGTCTTAGCAATGCAAACCAGGAAAAAATCGAAATTCCTACGTGTTTAGCTAAAGCTTCGATCAAATGGTCACATTTCTTCATCACAGTATTGAGAGACATCGTTCGAAGAATTCAGTGTCTGCTGCTGTTTCGTTTTGCGAATACCGGAACCAGGAGAAGCCACTTCTTTTAGTTATCAGTAATAGGATATCAGCATGAACATCAAAAGCAGCACATCCTCAAAGTAGGTAGGTCGTCTATTTCGCGTTCATAACATTCTAAACTTGCTTCGTTTTGA